AAAAGACAAGACATGGCAAGTACCAGACACCTAGCTGCATAGATCTATTTTTACAGCAAAATATTTAAACTAAAACATGCCACATTATAGATCTACTGCATAGACAATTTCACAAGGATTCCAAAAAGTCATCATTTTCTAGTTTACGATTTTTGTACGAATTAATATGAATTTTCAAAGTGGAGCATTCAAATCTGCAAAAATCAGAGAAAGGAAATTTAAATCTTGCATCGAGGTCCCTGGAATTTACACAAATTAAACCCGACAAATATATCCTTACTGCACTATTCATTAGAGTCACTGTCTATTCACTTAACCCCCTTCCTTTTCCTTTATTCAAGCGCGAGGTCCTTCGCCTTCTTCTAGAACAGAGAGTCGAGGAGGACGTCGGCGAAGGCCGGCCGGTGGCCGATTCGGCCAGCTGGGGAGGGGCGTCGGCGGCGAGCGGCGGTGCAGACGCTAGCCCAAGCCCACGCGCACACACGTAGTGGCACAGCATGGTCCACGATAGCTTGAGGCAGCATGGCCGCGCTCAACAGTGGCACCCGCGACGGGCACACCGGCGGCGGTGCCCACGGCAGTGGAGGAAGCCGGAGAAGAGACGCTGGGGAGGCATTGCAAGCTGGGGAGGTTGAAGGTGTGGCCAGCAGGGCAGAGGCGAAAGAGAGAGAGCGAGCGCACCGTGGCCACGGGAGCACCACCGGCGGCCATGGCGGCTCCGCTCTAGTGCGGCCAGAGCGCGAGCGAGAGAGCGAGAAGGAACGGGGCAGCTCTGGTGCTCGGTTAAGGAGGAGTAGGGCATGCGGCAGCGTGTGGCACTGGGGTAGGACACGCGTCGGCAAGCTGCGGCCACGCGGCAATGGTGGGAGCGCGCCCTGGTGCATGGCATCCACGAAGACAAACTGTCGAACACGTGGCGCGCGCGATGGAGCCCGACTTGGAGTCCGTTTTCGGCATATTCCGTGCACATTCGGACCTTGGCGCCAGTAGAAAAGTTGTTCTACTCTGGATGCTCTACAAACTTGATTAAGGCTGTATGGTCGTTAGAGCTCTTCATCAGCAGGTAATTAAGCCACAAAATGATAGTGTCAGTGTCTTGATAGCGGTTACCAAACTCCAAAAATCGATGGTCAAGACAAGGTCCAACGAGTGCCATCCTTTTGCACGCTCTTCTTCCCGATGTATGCTCCAACTTTTATTTTGGGATCAAGTCAAGTTGCTTAACGAAATTTGGAGAACGCGAGACGCCAATGCCGATGTCAATGAATTTCTAGACTTAGAATATTTCTAAGTGCTGAAAACAACAGCAATTTCGATCTTGTGACCTCGATTTGACTTACTTCCAAGCTGATCTAGCTCTTAGTCCAAAAACAAAGTTTGTTCTACATGATATGGACTACAACTTTCATTTAGGGTCTAACCTCAAAACTGGTATAGAACCTTCTGTTCTACTTTGACCAAAGTAGGATCACGATGAAGCTTAAATTATCCTTTTTTATCCATTGGAGCATTTTCTTGGCATTTGCCCAACATGAACCTTTCATGACTTTTGCTGTAGAGTTCATCTAGAGTCATTTTGGCAAGGTTGCAAGGTTTGGTTGACATCTCATGTTCTCATTCACTTAATAGTGCAATTCAAGCACTTAGTAAAATCATTCCAACAAGGATATAACTTATCATTTCATGTGACTTTTTGATTCCAAACTTCATGAAACTTTTTGAGTGCCCAATATAGATGGGTATTGATGTGAGACACATGAAGATATCCCAATCACACCACCCACGCATATATCTTGAAAAGGGGTCTATAGGCGAGCAAAGGTGCAATATCCAAGTTTAGGTTGGGGCTCGTTTCTATAGGTTGGACCTTGACATCTTCATCATCACTTAATATGCCATGTTCGAGCTCAAACCCATTGCTTAACTGGTGGCACACACCTAGGGTGTTACAGAGTTCATCACAATGTTGTTGATGTATGCTAAATCCATTGCAGCCTCAAGCAAGCACTGGCCAACCTCCTTAGCACGCCAACATCCATTGATGCCTAAGTATTTCTAAACAAGCTATGGAACCATTACCAACATTGATGAGCTGCTATGGTGAAACCTGCTTCACATGCCAGTCTACCGTACTACTATCATCCGTGTTGTGACTATGTTTGTTTTCAATTGTGACCAACTTCTATTGAAGAAAAAAAGGTGAATGACCTTTAGTATAGTGCTCGCAAGGTTCTCATGCATGCACATCGGGGAACAATGCACCGATTGCACATTATGTTTTTTGTGAGTTCATCATAATCTGTGTCAGAACATGTTCCTTCCGTAGGTCAACACAATGAACACCATCACATTTAAGACATGATTCTTGGCTGTGGTATGTTCTAATTGGCTATTTCCTTTGTCCATGTCGATGGTTGTCGATGATATTAACGCTGGTATCGTTATGGATCACATATCTAACCCCTAGATATATGGTGGGTTGAGCCAACTACTCAAAGTCATACATCTACATAGGGTATCTCCATCAGCTTGGAAAACAAGACATTGTTAGTTACTATCCCCGACCTAACGGGATCCTTGTAGCAACCAACTAGGAAACAAATTTATAAACCGATCAAGATATGTCTCATTGTACCCCGGCTCCTGGACCCACTCTTTAGCCTCCCAAGGCTTTGTCTCCCTATGCATGCAAGGAACGCTAGGAGGCAAGCAAGCTAAAGACGAAAGGAACAACACGCACCCAGTCAAGCTAAACACGACACTTCCACCTGCAAAAGCTACCATGGGAGGCTTCCACATTCTTGGCTACGACCACACCTGGAGCAACGACGCCTCCAACGGCTCGAAGACGCGGACAATAAAGCCCAAAAGTGTTCCCTTGGCGATGAAGGAACCTAGAGAAAACCTCATAACTCATTTTGGGTTTTCTAACACGAAGAACTCACTGCTGGACGTAGGGCTCCGAGGCTTGAACTAGGATAAAATTTTCTTTCATGTCTTGAGTGTTAACCACCAAAGTTCCACACATCAACCACTAATTACTATCCGTGGTTATGAACCCACGGCAGTTGGCAACCCAAATCACCTCAATGCACACGGTGCAAAGCAATACAACCCTCATACATTAGATGTAAAGCACCCTCTGCCTGAACCAATATAACATCATATCTCATGTGCTACCATCAAGATCTACTACTCATACATCATCGCATAATCATAGCCGATGGTAAAAACAACGGCAGTTGCGCGCAAGGTAGGAAGCTTTGCGCGTAGATCCGATCTAGACGAATCAAGATGGGTTCCATCATGAACTTTCTCAGTGAGGATCCTAGCTTTCAACGTCCCTCGCCATCCCTTTGATGACTTCATGTCCCTCGCTATCCCTCAATGTCGTTAGGCATCCCTCTACATCCCACGTTTTCCCTTGTCAACATCGCCAAGTTTGAGCCCCCTGGTCACACCTTCCAACAATGTCATCGCGCAAAATTTGAGCCAGTCACGCCATGCTGCCCACAAAGTCACCAGGTTCAACGCAAGTTGGTCGCACCACCGACAACATCACCACTGTTGACAATGTCGACAGGCTCAACCCCTTGGTCATTCCACTAACAACATCGTTGGGCTCAACCCGAGTTGGTCAAACCATTGACAACATTGCTAGGCTTGATCCCTCGGTCATGCCTCTAACAACGTCACTAGGCTCAAGCCAAGTCAATCACACCGTTGGCAATGTCACAAGGATCGATCCCTCAGTCATGCCTCTAACAACATCGTCGAGCTCAACTCGAGTCGATCGTGCCACCGGCAACTATGTTGCCAACCCTTTGATACGTGGAAGCAGTTGGGGGTTAGACAAGCTTAATGGCAGTCATGGCCAATGACTAGAGTGGGCGTTGTGCGTACATGATGGCTAGTGAGCATAGCTGTAGAAGTTGAAGCAATGGTGACTACGACCGCACAACATTTGTTAACAATCTCATAATTTCGAGGGCTTCTTGGTGAACACGGTGACTTTAATATTGTAATAATAAGATAATAGTTGTTCAACGTAGACTGTTAGATCATCATAAAAACCAATGGTATATTTTTTCCTTTCCTAACTATATAGATATACAGATGTAATAATAGATTATATAAGAATGGATTGCGAGGACATTTGGTAGACAAAGCTCTTCGGCAACACAGATGGTGCATATGATTGTGGTGGAAGAGGCAAATGTTTGGGTACTGACTCGCTTTAGGCAGCTTAGGTCGCTTTCAGTTCTTCTATACGATAGGTTCTGAAATTCTATCTGCGTCATGTTTCCGGTCTGTTAAGGCTAGGTCGCATATAAGTGGGATGTAATACAAATGTTGTATTTGGTGTTGTGGTTCCTCGTTTCCATAATTTGGTTATTACCATTCCGGAGGATTGTAAGCCGTTCTAATAAAAAAACTTGTCAATGGCATGGTCGCGGAAAAAAGAGATTATTAGTTGCAGCTGAATTTTGCCTAAATTTTGCATGGTCAATGGCACGGAATGGACTTACGAAGATTCCCTTGAGATTCGTGGGGTTCTTGCCGGTGCGTTGGCGAACAGCGACGATCGGCATGTTCGCTTGGTCATAAACGATCGTAAATTTTCACACAGAGCAGTATTTTTCTCTCACATCAAACCAGCCAGCAGTAATAATCCACGATCGTTTCAGCCCTAGCCGAACAGGTTGGATGACGGAGGCCAGATATGTAGAAGTCGCGGCCCTTGTACTCGGGGAACCGCTCGAGCCAGTTGAGCAAGAAGATGTACGAGTCCACTGCCGTCGACCTGTCGCCTCTTTCGTCGTAGTCCGACGACGTGTTGGAGTAGGAGAACCCGACGCCGGCCGGCGACTCGAGGAAGATCACGTTGGCCACAGCAAGTCATCGTCACTAGCTCAAACTAGCTAGCAGTAGTACTAGTGCCAGGCCATCTCGTAAGTCTTGTACATGAACATGTTATATATAAATAGGTGACGACGCACCGTTGTTCCAGGCGTCCCTGTTCCTGCTCAGCGTCTTGCCGTCGGGGTTGACACGGAACGGGCCGAGCTCCATCATGGCGCTCCATCCCAGCGACGAGCACCCTGGCCCTGCTTGCGCGCACGTGCAAGAAGAAACGCAACTTATTACCGCAATTCGCAACCAAATCAAATGCCAAAACATCCTCTGCTTATTACCTGCGTTGAGCCAGAGGACGAGGGGCTTGGAGGCGGCGGCGTAGGGGGACTCCACGAAGTAGTAGAAGAGCGCGCGGCCGTGCTCTTCGTCCACCGTCACGTAGCCGGAGTACTGCTCGAAGTCGACGCGCGGCGGCTGCTGCCCTTGGGGTCGCTGCAGTTCGTGGGCAGGTCACCGAAGCTCCTCACGGGGTCAGCCCATGGGTCGGTTTCGGCAGGCCCGGCTGCGGTTGCTGATTTTGCAGCTTGGGCCTGCTGGTACTCGATGAACTGCGTCAGCAGCGCCGCTTGGTAGTCCATGGCGGCGTTGGTGAGCGGTACGGCGAGTAGGATCGCCAGGAGAATGCAGTAGGAGATCGGATGATTCCTCGCCATCTTGGTTTGCCAGGAGATTAGTCCTCTGCGAGGTCGTCGCTCCATCGGAATGTAAAGATCATACGGTGTTTATATATGTAATCATAGATAGAGTAGTCCAGAGATGCATGTTTTGCCGACTGTATTTTGGGAGTTTGGATTCTCCGAAGTACGAACGCCATGAGACTAGCAATACGTCCTCGTCCCCTGCGTCAAGCGTCAACGTTCGATCGGTTCAGAACTTCAGATGTCATAGGTGAGGTCAACTACGTCAGATTTCCACATTAGTGACGCGTCTAGACGTCTGCACGATGAAATCGCGTTGGTTTCTTTCTTCCGGATCTCCCAGCATCGATCTTCGCTTAAAACCCCAGCTGTACGTCTGGCATATATAGTCGTCGGCATTGGCATTGAACAATGTAGCTTTGGATGTCGACGAGTTTCTCCCGGCGACGCCGAGGTGATGATATAGCCAAACCATCGGATCGATGATGTAGAGACTAGAGACCAAGGTTAGCAAAACTGTACCCCTTGGGAGTGTACTGTGTATTCCAACGCATGGATGGTGATGATCTTGTAGCTTCGGCTCATCTGTTAATAGTAAGATCATCTGGCATGTACTACGCACAAGTAACAAAAATACTCAGGTGTAAGTTTGTCTGAAACAGACGTCCGTATCAATAATACAGCGGCGGTACGGTACGGTACGGTGGTACCACGAAACGCGACCTCATAACAAACCTGTCGCATCAACTATTTTGTCCATTCTCATCTTCAAATAACGCCCAGAATTTAGTCCGCGTCTGCATGCTTGCCATGCCTTCCAAATCCGCAATCTGCCAAGTGCCAACACGGACACACCGATACAGTGCCCTCGCTTTGTTTGCTCCTGCTTGGATCTGCTGACGCCTGACGCTTGTGATGTCGGAGTACTACGTACTAGAGATTTGGAAGGCGCGTCAAGCCACAGCCACCGAATTTGCTGTTTTCGGCCACCACTGCCCCCCCGTCATCATCTTCCGAATCCCCGCTGATCAGATCAGGGGTAAAAGTTCATCATGATGAGCAACATCCAACATGGAGTATACAAGAAGAACTCGTATCCATTGCCAAACTGAACCAAGGGAGCTTTGGGATCTCAGGCTTTCAAATTGCAATTGTTTGTTCCTACGGTGGCAATGGGGAGCATGCTGGTGTCCTGAGAAGTGCTCTGCAGTGGCATATGCAGATCTGACGGTGGTACAGCAGTGGCTGCTGCGCTGTGCCAATGACACGACATCCAGCATCCAGCAGCACTAGAACTGCGCTGATATGAAAATCGTGATAGGCCATATCATGGATCTGCAGAGAAGAATGTAGCCCTGATTTTATCCCGCCAAGACGACCAGCATTAACCACATTCCTCGCCCTCCGCTGAAAATGAATCACACAACATCACACAGCACATGCCCTGCAACAACAACAACCCGCTCATCGCTCGCCCGCTCCAGATTCATTCACCAGCAGGCAGCCCGCAGCCATCAATCAATCAGGCACAACACAACCGGGGGCGGGGGGCCAACCATCATCCTTTTCGTCCGGGCGACGCGCGAGAAACCAACCACCGTCTTTCCGGCGCAGCAGATTCTCGCACCGAAGAGGGTGAAAAGGAGGACGATAATTATAGGAAGCCGCTGCTGGCTTTCCTCCGCTGATTTGAAGGCCACTGCAGTTTGTCTGAAAATCTTGTTATCGGAATGCAGACCTTTATTATCAGGAAAAAAAACTAGTCTAACATCAGCTCTGCAAGCCATGTGATCAGATCAGGCGAGCATCCAGAATCTGGTGGTTCATCCGTTCAACCGTGTACCCTCCTGCGCAAGGCATATTCGCGGGCCTAAATTAAACCTTGCATAAACCAGCACGCAATTTGTACGAGCGGTACATGGAAAGAAACCTCCGGCCACATGCACGAACAGACCACACATGACACGAACAGACCGTTGCTGTAGTGCGGTAGTACGTGCAGCGTCATTTGCAGTTTCGCACGGCAAAGGTGTCGTCTCACTTTTCGGGCAGACAAGAGACAACAGCTGACGGTAGTAAAAGGGGGGAGGAGTTCCCCTGTGCTGCTGTGCAGGACAAGCACGCAGTAATTATAAACCACATGAAGAGGCAATTCGCCAATCCGGACAGTAACGCGCTCGACCAAGGGCCAATCCGTTTCGTCGCAAATCGCCATTCACTCGCTGGAGATCGATAATCACAGCTTCTTTTTGTTGTTGCCTTCTCTGAGGCTAGACATTGTTTCTTTAACAGAGTCTGGCAGGGGAGAGCAAAAGCTGAGAAAGAGAAGCTTTTGTTCATACAAACCGTGAAGGCTGGCACGCTCTCTGAGCCTCTGAGGTTGGAGCCCTGAGATGATCTGAGGAATTAGGGAGCCGGCGGCAGTCACTTGGTTCAGTTCATCGTTGTCCCCTTCAGCCTTCACTTACCACAGTTCATCGTTGTGACGAGACGCGCGCAGCTGTGTGCGGCACAACTCCCCCGAGCACGGGCGCGTGCCTGTGGTCTTCCGCCCTTCCCATCCACGTCCTTCTTGCCCCCCAACGGTGGCCTCGCCTCGCCTCGACCCGGTAGTGCCCTCACCGGCTGGCCTAGCTTCTCAACTTGCGCCCCCATTACTTTTCAGTTTGCTCGATCTCCATCTTAAATAAAACCAGCAGCAGAGATGTGGCCTAGTAGTACGCATTTTCACATTTATTTAGGCGCTTAATTAACCTGTCGTACAGGCCCACGCAATAACTCGTAACCATGCATCTCATCCCAACAAATCGTTTTCGATTTGGTCCGTTGCGTGCTGCGTGTGTTTTCGATTCAAGGCGGCTACGGCCATGAATGCGACCAGTTTGTTGGACGCGAACCGTGCACGGCCACGGATCGGTCGCGCTAGCTGCACAGCCAGCCAGCCAAGCCTTGGATTCCGATACGAGACGACGGCAACAACCCACCGTGCGCGGCGCGGCCAAGCGCCCAAGCTGCTGCTTTCCGCTGGCCACCGGACCCTCGGAGCGCCCGGGGCGCCGGGGCCGCACCGAGGGGTCACGACAACGCCAGGCCTTTTCCAGCCCACCGGAGGAAACTGTCAGGACGTACGGCGAGGCAAAAGCGCGACGCGCGTCTTCACCTGCCCGGCCGTTTGCTAGCTTTCGTTTCGGCATGGACCTCGGCGGTCGGCTCGGCTCGTGGGCGCTCTGTTCTGTGGCGCGGTCGATATCATCACCTCCGTTGGCTGGCACAGGCACGCCCTTTGCATGGACCACTCCCCGGCGCACCGCGCACGAACGATCTCTGGTTGGTTGGATCTGGCTCCTCTGGCTTCTTCGTGTGCACGATACAGTGCGCGCAGGACTGCCTCGATAGTTCTGTACACGTAGCCAGCCCTCCCGGCAACGGCAACTCGGTTTACATGGCCTGGGCATCAGTGGCGGAGCTTGAACAATATCAGCTCTAGTCATGCAGATGCAGTACGTACAACGTACTTGCTTGCTCTTGCTCCCCCTGTCATCTCCCTTTCGTGAATAGTTTCAGGGTATAAACACAGGAGTCTCATCCACAGTGATCGCCAACGCGCCGCGCTTGTACGTACGTGGAAACGAAAGTTCTGTCGGTCTATCTCGACCAAAATCCGGTCCAAGCTTGCTCCTTGTTGGGTGTAGAGTGTGTGTGTGTGTGTGGGGGGGGGGGGGGGGCGGCGGCTTTGTGCCATGCATCTGAGTACCCACCTGATCGGATCGACCAGTGCCGCTGCTCTGCAACCGTGGGGCTGCTGCTGGCATACTCTATCGTGCGTGCCAGCCACCAGGAACGGAAAAGGCCGCAGACTTTTTCAGAAAGAAAAAAAAAGTCTATTTACCGTCATGCAGTTTGAACACATGATTTTTTTTAACCGTAGGATGAAGATCCAACAGTCTCCAGTCTTCTTCTACCTTTGGCCTCCAGCCTTCTTCTAACTCCAGACGCACTGTAGAACTTGCCCCCGCCGCCGTCCACGTCGTGGCTATGTCGGCACAAATCACAAGTAACAAAGATCTGCGGCTGTCGGCACAAATCACAAATCACAAAAAATATTTTTTTCTATGAAAGAACAAGGACAAAATTTAGGGGAGAGGCTCGCCGGAACCCTAGCCACCGCCGCCGTCGTCTTTGTCTCCGGTCGGCACAGATCCATGAAGAGGATGAGGACGAGGACGAGGACGAGGACGAGGAGGAGAAGAAGTCTTACCTGGCGGATCCACCATGGCCGGTGCCGGATCCGCCATGGCCGGCGAGCGAGCGCGTGGGTGGGGCTAGCCCGGAGGTCGCCGTGGCACGGGTGGGGCTCACCGGTGCCGGGGAGAGAGAGGGAGGAGCATCGAAGACAGAGAGATGTGTCGCCGCCGCGAGCCCGTGAGGGCGCAGCGTCGGGGAGGAGCGTCGCTTTTTCAAGTGGAGTCGGGTGTGGGCCTACGCGTCAGAGGCACAGGAAAATCGTGTGTTTACGAGTGCTAAAAACACCCATGTGATGTTTAGCATTCCTGAAAAAGAAAAGGTGAGGCCATGATTTAGCTAGCCGTGGTGTATTGATGTGGTGCAGCACACGTTGGTACTATAGAAACGAACCACATTTAAGAAGTGATCGACGGGCAGCAGCACGGAATCCTGTCACTGATTACATGGATATATGACTAACGCAGAGGGCAATGCAGGCAGGTCAGTTTATTCCTTGCTTCCAAGGAGATTAGCACGCGTTGAGTACTCCCGGACAACCGAATCGTGAACATAAACGGCTGTGTTACGTACGTACGGTACGGGTCTACGGCATCCTGGAATGAATGACCGTCCGGGCAAAGTGCCGCAGTTTGTGCGCAGATATTTGATTGTTCATTAATCAAATGCACCCGAACCAAAACCGCCCTATCCACTGCCACGTAGAATGTAGACACCACGCCACGGCGGCAGGCACGGCCTGATTTGTGATTTCTCCCCCTCGTGGCTGCTGAACCGATAGCTGTATCGGGAGGGATTGCTTGCGCGCTCCGCGATCAGCATCACGTGCCTGCGTGCGGCGTGCACTCGCGCTCGCCCCCGCTGCAGATCGGCCTCCCTCTGTAGTCAGTAGTTGCTGGGTCGCTGCCTGTGCCACCGCTTTGGACGCCCGCGCCAATTAGCCGTTCGGCTTCCTACTCATTCTGCCAGCGCGCACCATCCTTTACCTTTAACCTCTCCTTTTCACAAGGCAAAGGATGAGCGTGAACTCGAGTATTGATTGGCATGCAGTGCATTTGAAAATCCTGCAGGAGTGGCGCGAGCAAGCAAGAACAGTGCCTTTTCTGGCTGCGCTGCCGCTACATACGCCCTGTGTAATCTCAGTGGGGTGACACGGCGAATACATACGTCTGGCATCCGTACTATGTTACCCGTCAGTACAGTCCAAAGCTGGTAGTTGTCCTAAGTTCAGACGGATAAAATATGGTAAGACGAGCGGAAGGCTATCGAAGCTGTACCTGCGTGCATCCGTCCCTCGAAGCTGGAAAAAGTGAGAACAGAGCCGGTGAGCACTGACCCTGAGGTCCCCCGGGCTCACAACGCGTATATAATTTGCCGCGCGGCACGGGCCCATATACCGGCATCTCCGGACCGGCATGAGCCTGGGTCCCGCTCGGCCCAGCCGGTAGAAAAGAACTGACCGTGGTGCGTCAGCGTAACAAATCCTGTCACCGTTTTCTCAAAACAAAAACAAAAAATCCTGTCACCGAGTATTTTCGCTGCCCGTTGGGCCCGATGCGTCCACTGCCTAACATGTCACTGCTTGGTTTACGCACAGCTCAAACCGAAAACATTTCTGAATTTACCACACCATTGCGTTTAAAGTTCTAGCACACTCCTCTTCTGAGTTCTGACTCGTCCTACATCTAATAAATCTACCACATCCTAGGTTTCTTGCGATGCTGCAATGTTCCCACGGAGGCCTTGTTGGATGTGGTCAGATTTGCATCAATTCACGTATGTGTTGGATAGGGTATCAGGCCATCGGGGCTTACATATGTACACCAAAAGTAGTTGTGACTAGTGGTGTTTGGTTCTCCGAAAATGAGAACAACATACATAAATGAAAATGAGATCGGAACACTTAATTCTAGAATGAAATTTTAGAATCTAACTACTATCTACTAAAACCTTGGTATCTGAAGATTCTTACTATGCAAAAACAACAATCGCTATGAGAATGAGATCCAAACACTCCTTATTTCTATTCTAAATCTAAATTCTATATCACTATCTACAATAATAATGAGAATGAGATCCAAACAGGAGCTCAATATTGCAATACATACATTACCCATACCATTTTTCTGATTTTGTGAGAATTTTTTATCTTTTTTTTCTAAGCACGTATCATGGTAATTAATTTGGAGGTTCTGTTGGAAGATAGCTTTAGGTACTAGTAAAGGCTATTTTATATTATCTTTCATAGTGGTGGACATAAGTAATTGAAATATAAATTTAGTGGGTTATTTGAAATGATATTTTTTAATGACAAGGATGGATAATGTATATACAAATTTAGAACGTTGTTTCTTATTGTCTTATGTAATGAAATAGGTGGGTAATTTCTATGTGGTTATTTTGAATTATCCTTCATAATAGCATATGTGAGTAATTTAGATACAAATTTAAGGGTTACTTTACATATATTATATATTATAATGACAATGATGGGTAATTTAAAAAAACAATATAAATCCAATGATTATTAGTAGTGTATGATTAGAGTTTATAAAATTAAAGGCTAGAAGTTTTTGATGTTTGTGAGATTTTTCCTTATAGGAATTATTTTAAACTTTGTTAGAATCATTCACTTAGTAATATTAAGATACTTTTAGATTAATCTTTTGATATTGTAAATGTTAATGCTCTTCTTTAGATGAAACTTAGAGCATACTCAGGAGTTTGGTCCAATTTACTTGCTAAACTAATAGATCTAGCAAGTTAACATGAAAAATAGCAATATTAATTTTTTTTCTTCTCCAACAGTCTCCTAAAATAGTTTTCTAAACCATTTTGTATTGGGAAGCCTGAACTATTTCTAACCAACCAAACCCTTTTTAATAGTTTTTTTTTTATCTATCACCCCTTTCTCATTTGAAATCATTATTTTCTTAGTTTACTCATGTGTCCAATTTACTTGATGTAGTGAGAAAACCGCCGAAGGGGGGCAGCTACAGAGTTTCTTTCAACTGTGGAAACTTACGAGTTAGAGCGGATATTTTGTAACTTTTTTATGTTAAAGAGCTCTTTTACCGAACTGTTGTTGGACATTTTTCTCATTTTTACTAAAATATCAAAACAGGTAGTTGTTTTATAAAACTCCTGGATATGCTTTTAAGTCGTAAAATCTAACAGAGGATGTATGCTTGGATTCCCTCCTCTAAAATTTAGAACTCTAAAAATTTAGAGCATTTTAGCTCAGTTTTAAGTTTAAAGCTCTAATATGAGGTGGGTTAATTAAACTTAGATAAACTAAAGTTTAGAGCTATGAAGTTTAGAAGAGGGTATCGAGGCTATATATGGTAACAGAGTTGGTAAAAAAGTGATGAATACTATTACCGAAGATAAACGCGGTGTGTTTGATAAGTGAAGCCGAAGGGTTAATTGCCACTTCAAATTACCACAACTCGTCGTATATATACGACGCCGCCGCCGCCGCCGCCGGTCGCGATAACTATGCAACCCGAGACCAATTCCCACCACCAAAGGAAACCTGCGCGCCGCCATCACCGACGCCACCGCCGGCGCAGTCCTGATTCCCGCACACGCCTCTCTCCTTACCCTCGACCCCAATCAAAGCCACCGACGAATCGCCTTAATCTGTCTGCGGTGGCTGGAGCGCGCCTTGGTGCCGTCCAGCCACACCTCGGAGCTCACGGGGAATCTTTAATGGCGTCGGAATCGCATCGCCAGCCATAGGAGCCTGACTGACTGAGGTGCCGACTGCCAACTGCCGAGGCGATCACTTTCAACTCTCTGCTCCCCTTTTCTTGGCGCATTGTCTTGCTCTGATGCATACGGCACCGGAGATGAACGGCCGGGCTCGGAGGCCGGCGGCGGCCCGCTGCTCGACAGCGACCCCGAAGAGCGACAGCAGAGTATGTGCTTCGTCAACCTCTCTCAGTTATTTGCATGCTGTTTCTAGAGAAATTGGAAGTTCGTAGCTTTCCTCGAATTGCGCGTCCAGGAGGTGGCAATGTGCGGTAATTTCTCGGTTTCCGCCACCATTTTCTGATTTCCTCGATCATCAGCAATTTGTTGCGGTGTCAATATTTTGTACGATGGCTTAATTAATGTGGCCAGAGTACAACGATGAACTCATGAACAGTGTCATCTAGTGTTCTTGCGAGCAAAGAATGGTTGGTGACCTGGTGGCGTTTATGATAAGATCTCGACGCGGCTTCTTTGCCCTCTGGGCTCTGCCATAGTTGCCTTTGAGAGCTACTCGCACTGGGATGGAGTAGTATCTCTTCAATGCCCCTGATTCCCTGAGCCCCATTTTTCTTTAGTTTCCCTTTAAGCTTTATCTTTCAGAGCAGAGGAATCTGCGCTTTGCTTCCGTTAGTAACCTTCTTCTTTCTCAGCTCAATGAGAGGCACCTCTTTTCTCTTTTAATGATGGCGCTTGCGTTCAGGTGATGGAGAAGGATCCGAGGAAGGCCGCGACGCCGGTGAAGGGATCTGCCAACGCGGGCACCAGGGGCACCATGAACAGAATTCAGTCGAGGAGAGAGCGCAAGCTCGCGCTGCAGCAAGATGTGCTTGAATTCTATGCCTAGCTCAATTTGTCGGATTAAGTCGCTTCCTGTAGCTCGTTCTGATGCTTCGCGGTGCTGAATTCCAGGTGGATAAGCTCAAGAAGAAGCTGCGCCACGAGGAGAACGTCCACCGTGCTCTGGAGCGGGCGTTCACGCGGCCGCTCGGCGCCCTGCCTCGCCTGCCGCCGTATCTGCCGTCTCAGGTTTGCACCGCAACCGCATTCTGTCGTTGTGCCTTGAATTGTGCTGAATCCCTTGCTCTGAATTGTACTGCGAAGACGCTGGCTCTTCTCGCGGAGGTGGCGGTGCTGGAGGAGGAGGTCGTCCGGCTGGAGGAGCAGGTGGTGAATTTCCGGCAAGGGATCTACCAGGAGGCGATCATCTTCTCCTCCGCCAAGAACGCCCAGCTCCCCAGCGGCGAAGTTCCCGTGCCGGCACAGCTCATGCCGCCGAATCCGGTGCTGAATTCCGAGGTCCCAGCCACGACAGTAAGCCAAGGTTCAGACCATCCTCCCAACGCTCGTCCATCGCTGCACAACGGCGTGGCCAATGGCAAGCAAACGCCAAGAAAGCCCGTCAACGCTACCTCGCCGCCGAGCCAGGATGACCGGTCCGGGGCAGGGAAGGAGAACCAGTCGTTCAGCAACACGTCGAGCACGAGCAGCCGCCAGACGCCACCATTGCAGCAGAAGACGACCAACAAGTCCAGGGCGACGCCGCCTGACAGACGCAGCAGGGCTACTCCTGCTCATCAGGTAAATTAAAAACAGCAGAGGCATTCCGTTTCTAGTACTGTGATCCAGAGTTGCCAGGCACTGTTAAAGTGTTAATTGATCAGCGTGTAGATGCTCTTTGCATCGTCCATGCAGACAAATACTACTGCTGCGCCTGACCGTAAAAGGCCTGCTGCTGACGCTGCTGCTGCTGGCAGCAACTCTGACAAAGTGACGTCGTCCCATGACGACTCAAGCTCGAGCGTGCCGAACAAACTGTCGGAGGAGCTGCTCCGGTGCCTGCTGACCATCTTCTCGCGGATGGGCTCGGCGGGCGGCGGCGGCGGCCAAGGACAAGGAGACGAGGATCAGCAGGCGCCGTCCCCGTCGGTGTCCGGCTCCTCCAGCGAGAGCTCGGGGTCGGAGGACGCGTACCCGCAGGACCCCTACGGCATCCTGGAGCTGGGCGCCAGGGACATCGGCCCCTACAAGCGGTTCCACGTGGTGGACGCCGCGTCCTTCGACCCCAATGCGCTGGCCGGCGACGGCGACGGCGACGGCGACGCGCCTCTCGTCCGGAGACTCAAGTGAGTTCGTTCTCCGATTCGTTATTATCGCAGCTGATAATTTCGGCACCAGCCCAATTATTGCAAAAGCTAGATTTGGCTGCCTGGCGAGTGGGTGGCGGTTTGACTTGAACGCGCGTATGCTGATCGGGGAGATGTCCGCACTGGCAAATCTGCAGGGCCCTGTTGCGGAGGCTGTCGTCGGTTGACCTGGCGGTAGCGGGGCTCTCCCATCAGCAGAAGCTGGCGTTCTGGATCAACATCTACAACTCCTGCATGATGAACGTAAGCTGCAACTCCACTCAGTCGTCGTCACCCACCCTTGTGATCCCTGAATTCTCTCTTGGGCATCTTTCTGTTATCGGGAAGTTACATTTCGGTGACTGACTGATTAATTTGCTCACCACCTTATCAGAGTTCGCTTTAATTGGATCTACTCATTGCGTGATGGATGGTTTTAAAAAAAAAAAGCAAAACTCGCAATTTGGTTTGCCATAATAAAGCAACTACAGCCTGGATGTGTAGTAGTACTAGTTCTGGGATGCGTGTTCTTTAAGCCTGAAGTCTGCCATGTCTGTACACCGACCGTGGGCAGCTCGATCGATCGCTCGCCATTAAACTTTTGCATAAAGAAATGCTTCATGTCCCCCCCTAATCTTTCGGCCTCTTCGTTGGTTGGGTTTCTGGGCTGATAAGTCCGGCTGGTGCTAGTTTGTTGTGAGAGGAAAACACTGTTGGTTGGCTGGCTGATAAGCCCTGGCTAAAACCAATAAGCGAACAGGCTGTTTAGCAAGCGCCTAATTAGCTCTTCTTTTTTAGGGAACTCTAATGAGCTCTTCTAATGCTGCAGCTGCTGTGCATGCATGACCGAACTCTAATCAGATCTTTGCACTACGCCGACGAGTGGCACGCACGGTCCATGCTTGATCTGAATTTAATTTTTATACTGTACTACTCTGTCCTGCAGGCGTTCCTGGAGCAAGGGATACCTACCACCCCGCAAATGCTCGTGGCGATGATGCCCAAGGTTAGCTGCCGGCACAACTGAACCTGAACCCTTCCAGATACGCGCGCGTACGCGACGAGAGTGATAACTGACAAGTATGTGCGTTTGATGTTTCAGGCCACCATAAGCGTTGGTGGGCGCACGCACAGCGCCATGTCCATCGAGCATTTCATCCTCAGGCTGCCCTACAGCGCCAAGCAGGTGAGGCCCTGTCTGTCGCGCTCGATCGATACAGCCATGCATGGGCGTGGCAGTGATGACTTGGATCGAGTGGTTAGTTGGACACGTACTACGTACTAGTGTCCCGCTGCCGCTGAACATACGACTCGTGTGGCCGAATAATCGAGCAGGTGAATCGGGAAGAAGGTGCCAAGGGCGACGACGACGACGACGTGACGGCGGCGCGCGGCGCGTTCGGGCTGGAGTGGCCTGAGCCCCTCGTCACCTTCGCGCTCTCCTGCGGCAGCTGGTCCTCCCCAGCGGTAGGTTCTCTGCATGGTCACAACAGTAAGTAATAATAGCCCTTCAACTGTAACACTGCATGTAATCCCTGCAGGTGAGGGTGTACACGGCGGCGCGCGTGGAGGAGCAGCTGGAGGCGGCGAAGCGGGAGTACCTGCAGGCGGCGGTCGGCGTGTCGATGCCGGGGAAGCTGGCGGTCCCGAAGCTCCTGCATTGGTACCTGCTGGACTTCGCCAAGGACGTGGACGCGCTCATGGACTGGGTCTGCCTGCAGCTCCCGCCCGAGCTGCGGCACAAGGCGATGCGGGTCGTGGAGGACGGCCGGCGCGCGGGCGCCGAGCCCGGCCGCATCCAGGTCCTGCCGTACGAGTTCAGGTTCAGGTACCTGTTGGCCTCGTGACGTGTAGGAGTAGTGCCATGCCATACCGCCACGGCGCACTCAAGGTAGTTTGTGCACAGGTTTTGCAATAAAGGGATCGATCGGATAGACTGCCGAGTCGCAATGCAGTTTTAGGTGGTGTTCGGATGCAGTTATTAAAATTTAGAAGGTGTATTGGGAGGATGTTACATAGAGTGTTCGAATACTAATAAAAAACAAATTATATAATCCGTCAGTACTTTACGAGACGAATTTTTTAAGCCTAATTAATCCGTCATTAGCATATGTTTACTGTAGTACTACATTGTCAAATCATGGATTAATTAGGTTTAAAAGATTCATCTACAAATTAGTCACAAACTATGTAATTAGTTTCGTAATTAGTCTATATTTAATTCTCCATGCATGTGTTCAAATATTCGATGGGACAACGACTAAAATTTAGGATGGGGAACCAAACACCACCTTAGCCTCTTGTTTGTGAAGGAAAGAAGAATATGAAAGTTTCTGGCTCCTAACATAATTGGAGATCAGTATAATGCTTGTGCAGTTGTGCTCGCATGAAACATTTTACTGTGACAGACTGACTGTGGTCCATGCATCCACAGTCTACAAGCAGGGTTGGCAGGCTTCTGGTGCCGAAAAGCGGAAAAGACACGCCAGCCACTGCACGCTGTCTCTGTCACTGATGATTAACCTGGACCTGCCGCTTTTGCCTTTTACCTTCCATTCCATCCCGGTATGTTTCAGCACTGACGATTGAACCCAACCAACGGTAAAATCCACCCACGCGGCCACGCCTGACGCCCCACGCCGATACGAGAGACGGACCAGTCCAGGTGGGCGTGCACGGTGCACCACACCACACTTGCAGTTGCAGCACCACAAAATTATAATGGCAGGTAGCTGCTGGAGTCACCACCATGATGCATGCTTAGTGGCTGCAGAACTCGTGATCTCGGATCTCGCCGTTGTTCGACGACGACAGTCGACAGAGAAGCGTCTCCGTCGTGATGCGTACTACAGTACGTCGTGATGCGTACTACAGTACTCTAACCCGGATCCATGGGGCCCAAAAATATATAACTAATTGACAGGCCTTCGAGATGAATCTTTTGCCTTGTACGTAAATATTTACCAGAGATTATTTATCAGGTTGCAAAAATTTGCAAAGTGAACCAGGCGGTAGCCCGGATCCATGGGGGCCCAAGGAAGAAATGACAGGCCTTCTGTTGCCTTGTACGTAAAGGCTGACAGAGTGGCGGGCCGGTTGTTGTCCCCTGCCCGGAGCTCCGGACGGATGGAATGACCTGCGTCAATGTGTACTACGTGCAGCAGAGGCCTCAGCCTCCTCCGAGTCACTCACCGCGATCACTACTCACTCCGAGTCAATGACTGCCAGTGCCAGCACCGCACTGGCGTCTCTCAAGCAATCAAGCTCCGTCGTACGTGCCTCCAAGGATCTCCTTCTGCTCCCACACGCGCGTGCGCGACCCTTTCCCCGCGACCGCGATCGCACGATCCAGACGCCATGCGCCGGTGGTTCGCCCTGCGCCGTAGCTGTCGAGCACGCACGCGCAGGCACAGCCTAGCGCCCGCTCATCTCTGAAAACCTGCGCTTGCTTGCGTTTTCAGACCTGCCAGGCGCTGAATCCCGCGCGCGGGCGCCGGGCGCTCAGTCGTTGCTAGCTACTACAGCGGCCGCCATTGTCGCGTTGGGGGATTGGAGATTGTCCAGACTGGTTGGAGCGTCGTCTTGCGCGGTGGTGGTGCTGGTGCTGCCGCGTGGGGAGACTTTTAGGTCCCTAGCAGCACAGCATGATTGCCCGGTGTCTTAAGCGCCCAACTAACTGCATGCTCCTCCGGTCCTCCCTCCTACTGCTCGCTCGGCCGGTTCCTCCCGGAAAAAAAAAACTTCGAGAAAAAACAGTCCGGGTCTCGGAGATGGACCGGATCTCCGTGTCCGTGCGTGCATGCATCAGTGACTGGACTGTGAGTGGCCTAATAGGACGGCGCTGGCTGGCCGTCTGGCTGTCCATCCGTAGTCCCCCTCACCCCCCTCCAGAGGAGCTAGCGCATTTTGCTTTTGGAGAGACAAAAGGGGCCATGGGGATTATTATGTGTGTGTCCTGTAGTGATGGACCGGAATCCTGGAAGAACTGTGGACAGATCGAGTGATCGATCCCTCCTCTCGTCTTCGAACGAAAGGAAAAGGAGCGTGGCAATCAAAATCGGGATCGTGTCGCTTTGTACTGCCTATCGTTAGCCATAGCTGTCTACCTATCTAAGGTAGGTGCTTTCGATCGAGCAAAAAAGCACTTCCGTTTCAGTGACATTTTTTACATTGTCCATCCCAAAGGGTGCGTTTTAGTTCATGCATAAAAGAAACCAGATACTGTAAAACTACTTCCTCAGTTACAACATAAATCAACTACTACAGTTATCCTAATTCAAATTAATAATTTAAGTTTATTCAAATTTACAAAAAAAGAATACCAATATTTATGACATCAAATTAGTATCACTAGATATAAAATAAAATTTATAATATACTTATTTAGTGTCATAAACAATATTACTGTTCCTTATAATGTTGATCAAACTTAAAATAGTTTAACTTTGGATTATTCTAGGAATTAACTTGTTTGTCACAAAGATATAGTAGTTTAAGCCAACGACCAACAAGAGAGACCTAAAAGAGACTTCACGTTAATTCTCACAAGACGTGATAAGAAAAAAGAAGCTAAAATTATAAAAGAAAACTCGTAGTAATCATATATAACCGGCTTCTAATTTGGTAGACTCAACCATCACCCATAAAAACAAACAAGTTGTCAATAGGTCATAGAAAATTTTGAACATCACCCTTTCATCGCCACTACTATACTCGTGTGTCACCACCGGCTCTAGAATTCACCCATAGCTTTAGCACCCATCAATCACTCAATGCCGCCGGCATCAACCGCGTGTCAGTAATCCCATTTCTGCTTAGCACATAGTACGTCTCTTGACGAGATTTGTCGGAGTTCTAGATGACCCTATCGATCCTCGTCTTCTTGATGGGTTTTCTTGGGAGGCGGTTTGTGGGTGTTTTGGGTGAAGAATGAGTGTCAAATTGGTCACACCGACCTATTGGTCAGCCCTAAACCTACATTCTTTGCATATCTTGGCTATGTGCGACCTCCGACGATCTAGCACTTGCTAGTGTATTGGTCGAATTTAGAATCAACACAACTGAATAACAATCTAAACTGGGTTTCCTAAAAATTCTCTTAAAACTTTATTACAACGATAATGATAGGACGTGGGCGTCCACCCCGTTCGGACGCCGCACGACTGGGCCTGTGGCCCTATAGAGCGACGGTCATGCCAAAGAAAAGAAGGCCCACATCGAGTCGCTTCCTTCGACCCTCGCCATTCCCACACCGCACTCCTAGATCTCCGCTTCCTCCACGCCCCTCTCGCGTCGCCACCACCCCCTTCCTCCTATCTAACGCGAGAAGAAGCAGCACCTCCCTCCCATCTGACGTGCAACACATCCCATCCCCGTCAGATGATCGCAGTGGTGGGGCATGACCTTGCGTGTGGAGTGGCAAGCCCCGTCCTCGTCCGGCGTGCGTGAGGAGACGACAGCGATGGTGGTGCAACCCCGGCCACTAGGACACGACTATGACACAAAGCCAACGCGACACTATATCGATTGGGGCAGCCTCGCCGATCTTGACGGCGTGCAATGCTTCTCCAAACAAGCTCGTCCCACTCCCCGCAAAGACACTCTCCGCCCCGCCGCCTGCTTGCACTGCCGGCCGCCAACCCCTTCTTCATGTCCCCCTCCTGACCAGAGCTCCCCGCTGGCCCCTTCTTCCCGCTCCCGCCTTGAGAGCTCGTCGGAAGAAGGGCGAAAAAGGCATGTTGCAATCTGAAGGAGACGGTGACGCCTAAGAGGGGGGGGTGAATTAGGCAACTTAAAAATTCTAAGTCTAAACTATAACCTCCTTTTCTATTCTTTGCAAAACCTATGCAAAAGATAAACTATCTAAATGCGCAACTACGGTTTTGCTAGTGTGTTGCTATCTCTACCACAAAAGAAGTTCTACAAACAATATAAATATAGAAGCTAAAGGGTAAGGTAGAGATATGCAAACTCCCGTCGACGACTCCAGTATTTTTATCGAGGTATCGAGAAGCGTGCAAGCTTCCCCCTAGTCCTCGTTGGAGCCCCTCGCAAGGAGTCCCTCGCAAGGGCCAAGCTCTCAGTCGGGTAACTCCATGGATAGCCTCGAGCCTTCCCCACGTGCAAGTGGGGCTCCGGTGTGCCTTCCGGCAAGTCTCTCCCGGACCGCTCCCCGCCGTCTTCACTATCAAGCTTCCGGCCAAACCGTCGCGGGCCTTGTTCCCTTCGGTACACGGTAGCGGCCACACCACAAACGCGGTTGGTGTGATCTCGCAAGACTACAAGCCCCTCCGATATACAACAATGGTGCGCGCAAGCACCGAGTGGTAAGAGGTATGCAAACCTTACTAAACACTAGGCCTAAACCTAGAGCAAGCGCATAAGCGGTGGTCTAATCAACCTAAGCACTTCGCAAAACACGTACACTAATCACCTAATGAATCACTAAGCACTATGCAAGTAGAGATCACTAAAATGGTGTATTGACACCCTTGGTATGTTTCTTCAGCTCCACACAGCTCAAATGGCCGGTTGGGGGGTCTATTTATAAGCTCCACTGAGAAAGTAGCCGTTGGGGATGAAATCCCGCTTTTCTGTTACTGACCGGACGCTGATCACATCATGACCGGACGCGTCCGGTCGTCCCGGCCGTTAAAGCCGCGATCAACTGATCGGACGTTGATGGTGTCTGGTCACATGCCACCGGACGCGTCCGATCATAATTTCGCCGCTCTAGAATCTTTCTGTACTCGATCGGACGATGCAGTTTCTGCGTCTGGTCGATTTGTCGCCAGCGTCCGGTCAGTACTGAGTGTGTTGCCAGGATGATGAATAGTGCCATCGGTGC